AATTGCAAGTAGACAGAATTCATGATTGTCAATAACTAGAAGAGCCCAACATGCAATTACAAAACAGAGATACCAAAGTCAATCAAGTTCAGCAATTTAAATATCTAGGAAGTGTTTTAACAGAGGACGAAAAGTGCAATACTAAAATCTGAAGGTGCATTGGGATAGAAAATGATGCCTTCCAAAATCAAGAAACAGGAAAATTTCATTAAAAACAAAGAAAAGAGTATTGAACTGTTACGAGGTCTGTCTGAAAAGTAACAGGATTGATGCCACAAACAATTTATTTCAATTCCAAATAACAAACTACATGGTTTCTCCATTAAAGTAATCCACCTCAAATCTAATGCACTTTTCCATCTTTCTCTGCCATGCTTCTATGCACTGCTGGAAGGATTCTTCTTGGATGACCCTCAGCTCCGTCATTACAGTTCTCATGTTTTCAAAACCCATCCCCTTGATAATTCCCTTGAGCTTGGCAAAGAGAAAAATGTCATACAGAGCAAGATCAAGTGAATAGAGAGGTGTTTCCAATACAACAATGTTCTTCTCAGCCAGGAACTGCTGCATGTTCAGGGTGTTGTGAGCAGGTGCATTGTCTTGGTGAAGCAGGCACAATTTGTCCTGCCACAATTCTTGTCTCTTCTTGCACACTGAGCAAAGCAAATTCCGCAGGATCTCTTTGCAGACTTGCTGAGTGATCATCTGTCTCATTACCTTTCAGACAGACTTTGTATGTAATATCAGTCCTCCTATATGACAGTAAATGATGGACGAATCCCTATCTGATGAAGAGATTTGAAGCAACAGAAATGTGGCTCTACAAAAGGATGCTGAGAAGACAATGGACTGAACCTGTTAGAAGGAAGTTTTAAGGACAATGGAAGCGAAAAGGAAGTTTATACTTAGAGTCAGAAAGAGATAGTTGAATTTTTAGCTCATATAATGAGGAAAGAGGGTCTGAAGAATCTGACCTTAACAGGATATAACAGGCAAGTGAAATACATTGAGTGACCTACCCGATGGGCTTGTGTAGATGTTTAGCAGAATAGGGGTTAATAGAGACAACAAAAACACAAACTTTACTAAGAGCTACAATGGATAGAAAGTTGTTGAGAGCCATTATCACCCACTATATAGAGAAAAATATAGAAAAAATTGAATCAAAACAAAAATTTAAAGTAACCATATTTAACATCCTACCACTATTAGATAGGCTTGGGTAGACATGCAATCATAATATAGTATCTGTGATCTCTCTGAAATTATTACAAATATTTAGATTGGATTTTATACACACACACACACACACACACATATATATATATATATATATATATATATATATATATGTGTGTGTGTGTGTGTATGTATTTACTGCCCTGAATGTCTGAGAAATTTCATAGAAAATATGTGTCCTCCGACAGGTATCAAACCTGTATCCGACACAGAACCATCATTTAGCTACAGAGGAAGCATCTGGTTAGCAAAGTAGAATTACTACTTTTAAACTACAAATTTCCCATGATTTCTCTCAAACGCTCATATCTACTCAAATCATATCTTAACATAAACAAATGACATCATATGTTATGAAATGGACTAAGTCTGGCAATTATTTTAATATATTTCTTGTTTATACTTTCTTTTTAGAGATACAAATATTTAAGTAAATGCTCTGTTTATAAGAAACTGTATTAAAAACATTTACCAGCCTGAATGTTTAAGTTACTTTTTCTTTTAAGTCACAATGTGCTGTGTTTAGAAAATAAAAAACATTCTCATCACAGTAGATACATATATATAAAAATCTATGTATTCAGTTAATTTTTTTTTAATCCATGATAATGGCTAATAGTCACAGAAAGTGCTTAAATACATAAAATAATCTGGACTGTTTTTACTCACTTCATGTCCAAAAACACTTGTACAAATGCAAGAAAAATTGAATAGAAAGCTTAATTGCTGTACCTTGTCAGTTGTCTTTAATGAAACATGTATATATATATATATATATATATATATATATATATATATACAAGGTCTGATCAAAAAATATCAGGACTATTGCTATATTAATAGAGCTAAAGTGCAAAGAGAGAAGCTGCTTAGCACAAATTGACCTTGACTCTGTCATGCATGCATACAAAGTTATAAAATTCTCAGTCATTTCCATTATTTATAGCAATGCTTGGAAGTGTGTAGAATGTGGTTGTCTCTCCAGACTACAGAGATTCTATCAGTGACCATGGCTTGTGTGGCAGTTTTGGGCAAAGTGCAACATTCCCCAGGTCTGGCAACCACCATATTCCCCAAATTTCACCTCTTGTGACTTTCCAAAAATCAAATTCCACTTGAAAGGAATAATATTTCAAAACATTGAGGAAGTGAATGCAATGAGACAGCTACTCACTATCCCATAGAAGGATTTCCAAGAATGCTTCCATCAATGGAAACTATGACGGATAAAGTGTGTCACTTCAGAAGGGGACTACTTTGAAGGAGATTAAATTGATAAAATAAATAAATTGCATTATTTTTGTACTGCCTTGTTCCCAATAGCAGTTGTACTTGATGTCCCATTAGACCATTTCAAACATCCAGAATCCTAATTAATACCAAGATGCAAACAAAGAAGTTAAAACTACCACGCAGACACCATATTGGTTCTTCATAATGACTGTAAAGTTGAAACGGCTCAAACAAAAATAACACAATAAACTTGTTTATATATATATATATATATATATATATATATATATGACTCTCCCATCGTTTTCAATGTATGAGGGTCAAGCAGCTCAGTTCCTAGGAACTGACAACTCAGACACCATCACATATATATGATTTGATTATAGTGGTGATGGCTTTGTGCAGAACCAACCACACTTTTTGAAAAGTTGAATACAGAGACCTGGTGAACTACATGCCACAAGGACCCCAAACAACCCTCTGCAGATTTTGAATTGTCCTCCTAGACAAGTTTCCATCCAAGGCTATAAAACCCAATATGTTCTGTTGCAGGGGGAGAAGAGGATTCATACCTTTCCCAAGGGTATTAGCATGTAAGCGAATGTAATGGATTTGACTAGAATTCAAACTCGGCTCTCTGATTCCTCAATCCAAGCCACTACCCACTACTCCACCATGCCTCTTAATATATATGTATTAAAATTTATTGCTTAAATATTATTTTTAATAGATACCCATATTTAAGTAGATGTTCTGTTTCTATTCATTTAGTAAACAGTATATTTATTTATTTCCATCTAGTGGCCTGAATATTTGAGAAATTTTATTAGTAAAACTCTCTGACAGGATTTGAACAGGCATTCTCTAAGGGGAAACTGGGATTAGGTCTAATGTGATTTGACCTCTAAGTCATGAAGAATCTCCTGGTCAAGCAAAGCCTGAATAGGGCTTGACCAGGATGTAAATAATTTCTCTCTCACAATACATTCACCTGTTTGCAATGCAGCTGTAAAGAAGCAATAACCTGTTCCATATAGATTTTTTTTTTACCTGTTTATCGATTTATAGACATTTTTATTTCCAATAGCAAGTGAGACAAACAATATAGATTATTGCTTATTATTTCCATCTGACTAGAATCTGTTGCAACTGATCCTGATAGAATAGTTGATTCTTATTGTACAAGGAATCATTAAAACGCTATTTGCAGCTGCTGCTGCTAATACCTGTAAAGTTAGTAGTCAGTTTAGAGCTGATGATGATGATGGTGGTGGTGGTAGTGGTGATTATGTAAAGGCTGTATTGAAGGAGATGATAGGAAGGATAATATTTTTCATAATGTTCATGATTGTGATGTATATAGCAATAATAAAACTCATACTATTCCTTGACATATGCTGTGGAAGGTAATCCCATCCTGACACCAGCTTCATTGTACTAAAAAGTGAGATTCACAGAAGTGGAAAATTTGGTAATGATGATGATAATGACCGATATTATGACAATTCAGACACTTATGATGATATTGTTTTAGAATTAGGTCAGTTAATTTAATTAAGTTTAAACTTTTGTTGGATTATTTAATTTTGAATCAGACAACAATCACAATTAATAGGTAAATAAATATAAGTCTGGCTTGAATTTAATTCAGCAGCTATCCAGTATACATTTCAGCCAATTGAATGACCTAGTCATAGTTGAAACAAAAGGTAAACATAAGTCAGTCATACTTGACACGAAAGGTAGAACTATGGTGTGGTTCATACTTGAGACAAAAGGTAGACAAATGACATGTTCCCTTTTGAGATAAAATGTAGACATAGGTCAGATTCACACTTGAAACAAAAAGTAGGCATAGGACTTGTTCCCTCTTGAGATAAAAAGAACACATATGTCAAGTTCACATTTGAGGCAAAAGGTAGATATAGGTTGGTTTTCTCTTGGGACAAAAAGTAGATATATGCCATATTACCACTTGAGACAAAAGATAGGCGTAGGTTCTATTCCCTCTTGTGACATAGGACATGTTTTCCCTTTTTTATCACTTCAACCCAAACAAGGCAATAAAGCCACTAAGTCAGAAGGGGTTACTGTGTGTTAGAGAATATTAGAAACAGAACATTATTAAGAAAGAACAATAAATAAACAGAAAATAAGAAGACAGAAGATAACAAGCAACATTACATTTAAAAATTTGGCTTGAGACAAAATGTACACATAGGTCAGTTCACACTATAGCCCTATACTCTGCAGGGTAATCTATAGGTTAACATAACTCCACCCAATAAAAACCTACTTGCTGTGAGGATGTAATGCTATAGTCAGCATGGGAGTCCCCAGGGTTAACAGCAACCTGAAAAAAAAGTAGTTACCCTTCTTCCATATGTAAGGCTGAAAAATGCTTCTGCCAAAATATTATTATAACTGCAATACAATTGAGATTCACTAAACCAAAAAACATTTGGAATAATTTCTTTTATATTTTCATAAGCTTCACTAATTTCTATCTTGTTTTGTATTATTTGCAGTTGATGGAAACTGGACTCAATGGGGAGGCTGGTCATTATGCGACAAAATCTGTGGTCCAGGTGGTATCCAAAAACGTGTCCGTTACTGCGCTGATCCATATCCAAGCTATGATGGAAAAGTTTGCGAAGGTCCTACATCTGAAACAAGAGCATGTGTGAACAACACACAGTGTCCAGGTGAGTCAGTCATTTTCCTTTTCTGACTATGATGTCGTTTATGTTTTACTTTTTTTTATAAAAGCACATTGTTGCCAAAGTTTTATGAAAATATATTCTTAGTAAAATCTTACAAAAAGTCCTCTAAAATACATAAAAATGTTTATAAAATATTTACAGAACTGCCAAGATTAGAACCCTTAAATCATAACTTTTACTTCTCAAAATCTGATTAATTTATAAATAATTTATCAGTATTTACATTAGTCAGACTATTGTCCTCATCTTTGTCGCCATATTTGTCACAAAGTTTCGGCCGTTGTACACTCCGGCCTTCTTCAGGTGGTTGGAATTTCGAACTGAACCCTTTATTTCGATCACTGGGGTAGACTGCTCTAGTTCCACGTGCCATGTTTGATGGATGTCAGTTATCAGATATCTCCTGCTAATTTTCCCTCTGAAAGTTCTCCACTGCCTTAACCAGGTATTGAACTCACCTTCTTTGGGTCTGTCACTGGATCTAACCAACTAGAACAGTCTACCCCAGTGATCGAAATAAAGGGTTCAGTTCGAAATTCCAACCACCTGACGAAGGCCGGAGCGTACAACGGCCGAAACTTTGTGACAAATATGGCGACAAAGATGAGGACAATAGTCTGACTAATGTAAATACTGTACAGAATACCTCATCTCAGAAATATAGACAAATAATTTATCATACACTGTGTATGTCCATCTGTGAATACAGCTACTTTATGGAACAGACTTCCAAGAGGATTATTCCCTGATCACTATAATCTTAACCTCTTCAAGTCTAGGGTGATCCATTATCTACCCTACATATCCTCATAATCTTCACTTTTTCCTTTTACATCCCTACAAGAAACTTATTCAGTAAAATTCTAGCTTAAGTGACTTTTTGGCCTTATAAAGTGTGAACTTTTAATTAAAAAAGATACATCAATATGTTTATAGCCTAACAATGAAAATGCATTCATTTTATATAATATACTTTTATTTTTAATATAATTTTCTTTTACGCCAATACATTTAATTCAGTAGTGGTAATTACATAGATCAATCATTATACAATAAAAAGTTTATATCAAAATTCAATTAATATTTGAGTCAAGCAATTGTCATTCTTCTATGCTTGACTATTTGGAGCAGCATCCTCATCTTAACTGTTATACTAACGTTTCAATTTTTGTACTTCCAATCTTCCTCAGGTGTCTGTCAACTTGGTAATTTGCAGGACACATTCCCCTGTAGATTAAAGAGTTTTTTAAACAATATCTGGCTCCCTGACCATTCTGAGTTTAATAATGCTGAAGAATCCCACACTATGCTTCAGTTGAAGAAATAGACAAGAAGCACAAAGATGAATATGATTGTTGATTATTAAATGATATGAAATATTCTTTGAGTGTTGAAAGCAAAATGAGAAAAATTCAATGTGTTAAATAAAGAGTTTGGTTCAAAATTCCAAGAATGTTAATGAGTACAAAGACAAAAATTTAAAGAAACCAAAACATAAGTATAAAGGTAACAGTAATATTAGCTATTTCCCTACATGGAAACCTTTGGCATTCATTGACCAAGCTGGTACTGCTTTCGGTTGAAATTTATAAAATCTTTCTCTTCAAACAATTTTTTAGTAAAACAGGTTTGTCAAATCCATGTTGAGCTATATATTTATAAAAGTTCATGAAGTATCTCACTCAATGTGTCTCTCTGTACCTCTTACCTTTAGCAAGTCATGTGAGTGTCAGATTCTCTAAGCCCTCTTTCATCATTGTGTTCCAGAAATTTCAACTGTCTCTTTCTGATTATAAGTACAAGTGTTGTTTTTGTATCCTTTTTTTTAAAACTTCCATCTATGGCATTCTCAGTTTGCTCCTGCAAAACCACATCTCTGTTGCCTCAAGTTGCATAGTTATTAAAATAAAACCCGCATAAAAGAATGAGGAGTTGCATTAGGTTAAGGGTTATTGGCAGAGAAAATGGAATTGGTAAACAATGTTCAAGTTCTTGTCAAAATAGCTTGAATTTATTTTGCACTGATGCCCTTTGGAAAGACATGAATCCATTTCTAATCATCTTTATGGGTAAATAGCTCATGGCTTCTTAGCTTTGCATTGTAACCAAATTCTTGGAGACCGAGATAACACAGGAATAAAAGTGAAAGAGAATGAGAAGACTGAGGAAAGAACAAAAAAAGAACAGGGTTCAAAAAGACAAAAGATGGTGATCGACATTGCATTTAAATTTTTGAAGATTGCGGTTATCAGGGAAGCAAGAAATTAGAAGGGAATCAATACTGGAAAGAGCTATAAATAAATGCAAGCTATTTTGACAAGAACTTGAACATTGTTTACCAATTCCATTTTCTCTGCCAATAACCCTTACCCTAATGCAACTCCTCATTCTTTTATGCGGGTTTTATTTTAATAACTATGCAACTTGAGGCAACAGAGATGTGGTTTTGCAGGAGCAAACTGAGAATGCCATAGATGGAAGTTTTAAAAAAAAAGGATACAAAAACAACACTTGTACTTATAATCAGAAAGAGACAGTTGAAATTTCTGGAACACATAATGATGAAAGAGGGCTTAGAGAATCTGACACTCACATGACTTGCTAAAGGTAAGAGGTACAGAGAGACACATTGAGTGAGATACTTCATGAACTTTTATAAATATATAGCTCAATACGGATTGAGTGGTATAGTAAGGGGACAAGCTTAGAGCTAAAAAAGTAGAGGAAGTTATGAAGTGCTATGTCCTAAAGGGATAAAGTACATAGAAGAAGTAGAAGAAGAAAAATAAGAAAAAGAAGAAGAAGAAGAAGAAAAAGAAGAAAAAGAAGGAGCTTGAACCTGTAACCAATCCTGGTATCAAACTTGTTTGTATTCTTTTAAATTTCTGTCTTTTCCAAAAAAAAAACAGCTATTTGGGGGGAAAAAAACAGTAGCATTAACTCCAACCAATGATTGTCAGTTTTGTTGAAAACAACCATTGATAAATGCTGTAAGGGGCATTGATCCTAGCAGTTATCATTTGTCTTTGCCATAAGGGGTAAATAGGGGCAAATATCATAAATATCATATTTGTCACCCATCTAAAAGCCTCATCATTTCTAGAGGGAGAACTAATAAAAGAAATGGATGAAAATAATAAAATAAGACTATGCAAATGTGAAATTGATTTCATAATGTGACAAGAGGCAGCTTGGAGAAACTATTATTAAAAATGAGCCTGATGAAATTGAGAACAACGTTTCTGTGCTACAGTTGTGATTGATTGCTTGACAAGTGGAAATGAAAATGTCCTCACTTTAGCCCCTAATACTTTTTAGAAGCAATTCTTACAGACATGGTGAACTCAAAGTTTCTTGCAGAATTTCTGCAGGTGTTATTAATGGTTCATATTTTGTACTGCAAATGTTATTCACATTGATTATGTGACAAATTTTTAGGAATGATTAATTTCCCAACTGTACAGATAAAGACTTCAGGTTTTGGAACTTCTTCAACAATAGCATCACTCTCACTTTTAAATCCCTGAATAGCAGAATTTTGGCAAAGTTTAACAAACATACCCACAAATTCTGTAAATAATGCACTTAAATTCATAGTCTAGCATTCTTCTTTGATACCTTGGCTTCGGTCACTTTTCCAAACACCAATATCTAGCTTCTCTGTGTTGTTTCTATAAATATTTTCATGGTAGTTGTTCTGATGAGCTTTCCTTCTTGGTGCCAAGGCTTTATGAATTTAAATATGTTCTCAGATTAGGGACAAGTTTTCGTCATTTTAGTGTTAAAATGGCAAGATGTAATTATAGGTTCTATAACAGGTAGAACTCTGAAGGTCAGTCATTAACAGCTAGTCCCTGGTAGTCAATGAGGATATTCCCTAGAGGTCACATCTTGGACCAACCCTTATTCTGATTTAAATAAATGACCTGCCTAAGAATATACTCCAATCATTTGTAAAATATTGAATGTATCATCTGTGGCAGAGTTTTTTTTATCCAAAGTGAGGCTTGCTAGTCAACTTTGATCACATGATATTAAGCAATCCAAAGAAGACTACACTGATAGCCATTCATAATGATTTTCACTCAAAACAAGGCCTGAAAGCCACCCAAGGTATAGTGTTACTGAGGGAATGTGGGTAGTAAAAGTAGTAAATAATGCAGTTTATGAGGATAAGTGGTAAAGATAACTGTTAACCCTAGACTAGAAGTGGTTAAATTATAGTGACCAGGAAAATATCTTCTCAGGAGTCTGTTCCACAAATTTACAGGAAAATTATGCCAGCTTTGTAACAAAATATGTGAGTTGGCAACAGGTCTGAAGGGTCACATGATAACACATAAGGACCAGATAAATTAAAAATCATACACAAGTCTTTTGTCTTCTGTATGTGCTGAAAAGTCTACAAAAGTGAAGTGGACCTTTCAAGTTACTTACATACACATGGACACTCATTCTAAAACTAAAAAGATCACTTTTTACTAAGAAGAGGTAATTCCTATATATAATATTGATATAAAGAGGTTTTAGGCAACATTTAGATATGTACATAAAATAAAGTAGAGGTCTGTGAAAAAAATGAATAAAATGAAAATGCTTTTGATACACTCTTTGTAAAAAAAAATGGGTCAGCAGCAGGTGTGAAGAGTCGCATGACAGTGCATAAGGATCAAATAAACTTGAAGACAATACATAAATCTTTTGTCTGCCATAGATGCAGGAAAGCCTGTAGAAAAAAAATGAAAGAAAGAAAAAGATCTACAGGCAAACACCTACCTACTCAGTAAAGTAAAGTGTTACCTAGACAGAGGAAAAATGCTTGATAACATTAATTCCAATTGAAGGATGGCCCTAGTCATAACCCAAGTTTTCTTAGCAATATATATATATATATATATATAATCAGACAAATAGTAGCTAACTGAATAAGAAAATGAAAAGAAATTTGTAAGTGGCATGTTCCATTCTGAGAAAGAACTTTTTCAGCTTTGTGATGAATTTACATCCAGGAACAAATAACATTTTTTCTCTCCTTAAAAAACTATTGATGATGCCATATTGGATGACTAAAAACAATAGCAATAATAAGCTGAACGAGTTAGACTAAGTTAAACACCCACACCCACACACACACATATTTATACATATATATATTTATACATATATATATATATATACAGGGGGCAATGGGCAAATTGCCACCATTTCATATTGTAAATTTTATGCATGCACACATTTTGTCCACTGCACAGTATAGTAGGGTCAGTTGGGCACCATTGGTGAGAAAAAGAACACAATGATATAATTCACTCCAGCAGAAATTTGGAAACAGCATTTTGTACTGTTTGGCATTCACACTGGAAGCTCTAATACAAACATTTCAGAGGGCTTAGGTGTCAATCTGAGGACAGTACAGAGGATTCGAAAAAAGTTAAATGAGTCTAATGGAGATTATGAAGGTGTATGGAGTGATGGTGATGTTATGCCTCCATTCATCTTCCCATTCATCTTCCTTCAGACTCAATACAGAGGCTTATAACATGTGCCTTGAGGAGGTAGTGCTGCCCTGGGTCAAGAGGTTGGCTGCTGGATGACTCTACACCATACCACACTAGCAGGAGAACACAATCATGGCTGTCAGACAATTTTTGCAACCACATCATCCCTTACATCTGGCCACCTAATTCAAGACTTCAACCCCCTTGATTATTATGTGTGCCATACAGTCAAGCAAGAAAACTTTTTGTAGCACCAAAGATGAACTGAAGGCAAGAATTATGGCAGCATTCACCAACTTAAACAAGGTGACTGTCCAGATGCAGGAGATTCTGAAGTTGTCTGGAGTCCATGGTTGAAGCCAATGGCAATTTTATTGAATAAATTTATTCTTTAGTATTTCAAGAATTTTTGTGTAATTTTGGCATATATATCTGTTAAAATGAAATGTCAGTATTATTTTGATTTTTGCTTAATTTAGAGGACACTTATCCATTGCACCCTGTATATATATATATATATATATATATATATATATATAGTGGACTTGCCCGTCATATTTATGTATGAGGGTAAAGCAGCTCAGTTCCTAGCAACCAACAGCCAGACAACAGCACATATGATTTGTTCATAGTGGTGAAGGCTTTGTGCAGAGCCAACCACACTTTTTGAAAGGTTGAATACAGAGACCTGGTGCACTACATGCCAGAAGGTCCCCCAAACAACCCTCTACAGGTTTTGAATTCAGAGTTATCCTTCTCCTAGACCAGTTTCCATCCAAGGCTATACAACCCAGTATGTCCTGCTATTTAACCATAGCTGGAGAGAGAAGAGGATTAATAACACATAAGTGAATGTAATTGATATATATATATATATATGTGTGTGTGTGTGTGGAGAGAGAGAGAGAGAAAGCAAATTCTAGCCATAGTAACAGAAATTAGACAATAATCACAGTTGTATCTTAGTGCTGACCATATTCAAACCCAGTATAATTGGGCAAAATTTCATCTTTGCCATTTAATTTGTGATCAAATCTGCCATTCAAACAAGCCAATTACTCACTGCACCAGTTTGTTCAGATTTCAGTAAATTACAGCAGAGACCTCAAATTGAGCTCCAACAAACATCAATTAATCTATCTAGTATATTCCATTTGTTTTCATTTAAAATTTTTATGATAAACTAGCAGCATGGCCCAGCATTGCCTGTCCTTGATTCAAAAATCATACGACTCATACAGCAATTGCTATCACTTGACTTAAAATATTTTTGCCCTTCCTTGCCTTCAAAGGAGTGCCTTTTGCCGTGCTGATGTTGCTACATGCCTTACTTCTTGCCTATCTCACACTGCAAATTTTTTCTAAGCTCTATATTAAACATTAAATATGTTATGAAAAAAGAACTAAACAAAATGAACACAAAACAATCAGCTTTAAAAAAGGACTCATAACTGGAAAAACCAAATGAAAAAATAATGTTAACAACAAATACTTTTTCACACCCAACTCAGTTCTGTGGAATCAGAATCAACATTGAGTTTAAGCAAGCAAATGAGCCAATTGGAGTAAAGTGCCATGCAGATTTAAATTTTTACCACTTGTGACGAATGCAGCTATTGATTTTTTTGCATCCTAGCATGCTAGTTAACATTCGTGTCAGTCTGCTGTTGGCTCTCACGCTGGCCAATAGAATCTTCCTGCCTGTTTATAGCAGCCAGCTATAGGCTCTCACTCTGGCCAGTCAAAAATGGCCGCAAACTATATAAAAACTGCCATAGAACCATGAAAAAATCAATTATTTCCACTATCGATGGGAGTTGGGAAATGCAAAGTCAGTCTTGGCCTTCCCACTAACTTGGAGCATGTGCATGTAAATTTTGGTGCAAATCCGTCAAAAATTGCGGCCATGCATTCGTTACACACACACACACATCCTGCCTTTTATAGATAGAGATATATATTTCATTACCAGTGACAAAATTGTCTAAAAATAAAAAAAAATACTTTTTTGTGTTAAGTATAAAACAGCCAACTGTTTAAATTCTGACAATGGTTCTTTTTTTTTTTTATAAACCTTCTTTTTCTAGCTTGGGAATCAGTCCTAAGGCTTGTGAAATCATGTTCACTGGTTTCTCTTTAAATCTTTGTAAATTCATGTGTTGTTTGTTCTATATCTTCATTCAAATAATACCAGGTCAATAGTATTCACATTCTAAGATCTTTGATAGTATTCTTTGTTCCTGAGCTCAAAAACTTCTTTTATAAACCACTGCTTGATCATTAACATTAATCTCAGAGCTCCATTGCTGGGCTTCTGCTACATTCTTTCCTGCTTAAACATAATACATAATCATTGACATATGAGTGCTTTATATTTAACCATGAATCTCACTAAATTAAAACAAAATTATCCCTCTATATAAATGTCACTTAAACATGATGAATAAACATTGTCTTATGTGCTTTTTTTATTTAAACATGAGTTTCACTGAAACAAATTTATCACTTCTCTTGAAAAACCTCTTAAACATTATAAATAAGTAATGTCACATGTGTTTTATATTTAACTATGAATTTCATTAAAATAAAACAATATTATCACTTTCTATAAATGGTTCTCAAATATGATAAACATTATCACATTTGTGTTTTACATTTGCTCATGATTCTCACTAAAATAAAATAACCGTTTTCTTTAAACACTTCTAAACATGATATTGTCACATAGGCATTTTATATATAACTATGATCCTCACTAAAATAAACACTTATAAACATGATATTATCAGATGAACATTATATATTTAGCCATGATTCTAACCAAAGTAAAACAAAATTATCTCTTTTTATGCATACTTTTTAGTCTACAAGTAATAAAGAGATGAATAAACTTGAAAGATACTTCTAAGATTTCTTTAGTATTTTGCAAAAAATATTGCTGGAAACATTTGCATCATTCTACCTCAAGTTCCTGGACATATGTATGCCCATACATGGCCCACTTTGACCACTTATGGCTGCAGTCTTCTATAAAGAGATCAATAGATAAAAATGTCCACTTTTCCCTCTGCCACTGTTTTAAAATAATAGTTCAGTACTCTTTGCTTTGTTTCTGTTGCTTGAAATCTCTTCTTCATGTGAGATCACCCAGCATTCACTGCCCTATAGGAGGACTCATATAACATGACAATTTAGTACTCTTTTCTTTGTTTCTAAATTTTGCTGTTTCTTAATACTTTGCTTAGCTTTTGGAAGGCAACTTTCACTATCTCAATGTACCTTCAGATTTCAGTGTCACTTTTTTTTTGTCCTCTGTTGAAATATTTATCAGATATTTAAATTGTATTTGTTTGGTTTTGTTCATCTCTAATTTGTAACTTCTATGTTAGATTGTTCCTCTTACTGACCATCATGCATTATGTCTTCTGACATTTGACGTTAGTTCTTTCCTCTTGTTTTCCTTCACTACCTTCTGCAGCAGTTCTTGTAGTTTCCTTTCTATGTCTGCTATCATCATTGCATAAAATCCTTACAATCCATGGCTATTCAATGATAGGTTCTTCATATAAACATAAATACATTCTGAAAGTTTTGCTATGTTGGTTGCTTAATTTTTTTCTTTTTTTATGATGCCATATCCCTTCAGATAATAAGTAATCATGGTTCTTCATTTGATTTCTGATGTAATTTAGTTACTAAGTTAGCCTAACCACAAATGGTTATTACTGTTAACTTGTAAAATTTGATTGAAATTTTGTTTTTTTCTATCTTGCGATACAAGAATTTTAATAATCTCAGTATAAGAATTAGGATGAGAATGATTTCAATATGGCGCATACTTTCATATTGTCCAGCACAAAATTTCAGAAAACTTGCTTTTTGCCAATTTAAAACTATTCTTGAAATATTAAAAAGGTTTGTCTATGTGTCAGTTCATGCATATATCAAAGAAAAAAATCTCATTTTATTTTTAACATTTCTTTTTCAGAGATTCCTGAGAATTTCGATATAAGCATCTGTGAAAACAATAATAAAACAGTATGGTGTACAAGTCACTTACACTGTGTTCTTAAAGAAAAAGTCTGTGATAGAGTTCTCCACTGCCATGATGGAAGTGATGAAAGTATGTGCCCAGCAAAATTCAGAAATGGTAAGTGTTCTCTTTTTGATGTCTGTAAACATTGTGAACATATGCTTTTTTTAGTATAAATAGATGTGTTTTAATGAGTACAATGTAGAGTGACCTTCTATATCATGCATTATGTAGTGTTTGTGAAGAAAAACTTTTAAAATTTATATAAAGTGAAAGTTAGTAAAAGCAACAAATTAGATTCAGATTATAGGAGACATATTATTAGAACATATTCTGTTAATGAATTGCCAATATAGTAAAAAACATCTTTTTAACAAATTGTTAATAAAGTATGATATCCCTCAGTTAGTTAAGGGCCACATGTGATACACACTTGAGCCATCATCTATCTTTCAATAACATTGTGTAAAAAAAGGGAAACCCTTCCTTGTAATATTTCTTGAAGAGAAAACTGAAGTTACGGCAGTTTCTCTATGAACATGGTTAGGCTGTTTTTTTTTTTCTGTAAGACCTACTACTGTGGGCTAGGGACATCCTTCTCGTTTGAGCTCTATATCGCAAACTCCACTTCATCACTCTATCCCCTGATGTTATGTCAAGTAGTCAGTCTGAAGTGTCTAAATATTATGAATAGCACCTGGGTGTAACATTCTGTGTTGAAGTCATTAAGAAATAATCTTGTGTCTTGTCTATTTGCCATCATATGAAAATTGTCTTCAGAAGAAAATCGACTAAGAAAATAAGGAACAATTTCTGGAATATAGACATTTTTGAATTTACCATTTATCTGCTTTCTTCTTTTACTCTTTTTCTTTTTTTGCTGGACAAGTTGAATATTTTTACAAGGCTGAAATTCTACCATCTCAACTTTCCACAAGTAAAAGCAAAATGGGATGACCTTCTATATCATGCAGTATAAGTTAAAGCAAATGATGAAAGTAGGAATTAATAGTCAAGAGAAATTTTCAGATGATGAAAAAATATGAAACCAAAGAACTGAAGGTCCATCAAAGAGAAAGAAATTTTCCTATCTTTTTGGTAGATGTATCAATGTTTTTAATTTTTCTCATTTTTTATTAAATATACTGTTTAATTATCCTTTGCTGCGTTATTAAAAGAACTTCAAAAAGTGGTTATGTGCATTTAAAAACAGTGAAAAAAGGGATCATCAGTTGTCAAAAAAAATGCATTCATTACTGGTAAAAGAGGCATTTATATGTAGATAGACTTAATATATGTGCATTTTTATAGATATATGCATTACAAAGGAAGATAAAGGGATTGCCAGTGTTCAAGAATTAATACATAAATTTCTGACAGAATAAGGATGTTATATATAGATATGAACAATATCTATATATAACACATATATATATATATATTATAGAGATACATTGCAAAGGAGGTAAAAGCATTGTCAGAGATCAAGAACAAGTATCATAACTGAAATGTCATAATTGGCAGAAAAAGGTGTTATATATCAATTTGCATAACATATATTTTATTTTTGTAAAAGCTATTTTTAATGGATACCCAGGTTTAAGTAGTTTTTTTTTAAGCAGTGTGAATTACATCTAACAGCCTGTGCAGTTGAAAGATTTAATAAAGAAATTGTACTCTCAGACACAGTGGAATAATGGATAGCTGCTCAGGTTGAGGAATTGTGGAGCCAAGTTCGAATTCCAGTTGACATTCACTTACATGCTAATACCCTTGGGAAAGTTATGAATCCTCTTCTTCTCCCCCCATCTATGGGTAAATAGCATGACAAACCAGGTTCTATAGCCTTGGCTGGTAACTGCTCTACCACAGAAAGAAATGTCAACCTACTGTGAGAAAAAAATCTGCCTCGTCAGTCATGTATCGAAAGATACATGATCACCTAAGTGCGTATCATGCATGGCACATAACTGACTGATTCTCAGGCAGGGTTTTAACCTTCACCCTCCTTCATAGGGGAAACCACCATCTGATATGGTGCCCTTTACACCACTTGGTCATAGAAAGCATCACAGGCCAGTTAGGTTCAATGATAGAGAGTACAGTTTTTTTTACTTACTAAGTATCTCAAATGCTTAAGCCAGTAGAGATGATATCAACTAAAAATAACATTTAGAGTAATAAGAAATAATATCGTATCAAGAAAAGAATCCATGAATTCTTTAGAAATGATTATGCTTATCTTTCGGATACAAAAAAATTCAGCAGATATGGACATTTGAGAAGATCTGAAAGAGAGCGTGTGCATTCTTTAAAAAAGTTAATTGAACCTTGTAAGGCTGTGATGCTCTTTGGCACTGAGCAGTGTAAAACATGCTGGATCAGACTGTGGTTTATCCTACAAAGGAGGATGCAGATTCAAACACTACCAGAAAGCATATTTTCTTTATTGTCTTTAGAATAGTCAGGCCTGTAGACATAATTCACACTGTTTAAAAAAGTTAAAAGATATTCACTAAAAATAATATTTCGAGTAACACAGAATAATAATGGGTTAAAAATAGGATCCATTAGTTCCCTAAACATAAATGCGTCTGAGTAGACATCTGTAACATGGATGGCTAGCCATTCTAGCAGACTGGTATACTTGGAAATGAGTGGCCACTCATTAAATTCAGTAAAAGATGATAAAAGAGTTATCAATGGTCAAGAACCAGGTGTCTGTGATTTCTTAAGTATTATTTCATTCAATCCCTGGGCATTTCCAGTTTTACACCTCATCTGTGTGTGTATATATATATATATATATATATATATATATATATATATATATATATATTGTCTCAAAGAGTTCTATTAATATATTTACCTATGCAATTTTGAAAGAAGTGATAGATTTATTTTAATTATTAATCTGACAGATTTTTATTGCTTAAACATTATTTTAGTGGATACCTGTATATGAAAAGAGTTGGCTCCATTTATGTATTACTATATTTATTTATTTTAAATTGTTGGCCTGAATATTTGAGAGATCTTATTAAAAAAAAACATGCACTCCCTGGCAGAATTCGAACTAGCATCCCCCTTGACAGGAGAAACCATTACCTACATAATACGAAGAAAGCATCCAAATTACAAAATCCATGTTGATGTCAGCAGTTTTGAACATAAAGTAAAAATCAAATAAAATGTCTAACAAGTAAAATAAAAAGAAAACAAACAGCAGGAATCCAATACAGAAAATCAGACATCTTTTAATTTGTAGCTAAGTTTATTTCTGTTTTTCTAATATGCCATAATTGAAACCATCATTTATTTATTTTTTTTTTATTTCTGCATTCATTTAATAACCCAAAAATCTAGTCTCCAGAATTAATTGATGCTGGAAAATTGGCATCCAATTTTATAAATGAGCTGATGGTTTCCATATTTTCTTCCCTTTCATATTTTCTTAAAGCATTTTTATGTTTTTATTTTATCTTCATAATACTCCACTTGCTTGATGTCATGCAATGGTGTAATTTTGAACAAACTAAGAATTCTCACTGTATACTCCATTTTACTGGCCTTATGTCAGACTGATATTAGTAAATGTTAGCAAGTTTATTTTGCAGATTACTACAGTAAGTTACAATTACAGCAGGTTGCTTTGCACGCTTGTGATTTCATGTCAGCGAAAGATAAAGTTAACAGAAATATTTGTCAAAAGCAAATATATGTTTCAAAACTGAATAAAAGTTTCTATTCAAAAAATATCTGTTCATTAGTCTATCATTTTTTGCTTCAAGATTTTTTGCTATTATTATATTTGTGTCTATAAGAATTTACTTAGTTCTCTAATAGACTTATATTGGTCATTTATATGCATCTTCTTCGGGGATTGGTAAATGTTGATCATTTGTATTTTAGTCAATAAGCATTTACTTGGTTTGGGGATAAGTAAATATTGGTCATTTACATTTGAGTCTATAAACATTAACTTAGTTTGAGGATAGGTAAATATTAGCTGTTTATATTTGAGATTATATGCATGTCTTTTGTTGAAGGATAGGTACATTTTAGTCACTTATATTTGAATCTCAACATTTACTTCAGGGATATGTATATATTACTCTTTTATATTTGAATCTATAAGTATTTACATGGTTCTGTAATAGACACATTTTGGTCATTTATATTTGAGTTCATATACCTCTCCTTGGTTTGGGGAAAGGTAAATGTTGATAATTTATATTTGGTTCTGGGATAAGGAAATATTGGTCATTCATATTTGAGTCTACAAGCATTTACTTGTTTCAAAGTTGGATAAATATTAGTTGATTTGAAGAGGAATTGAACCCCCCAGGATTACTTGCTCAAGACATGCATCAATGACCCCATGACAGCATCTAGTCATGGGAACGATGATGATAATGAAATATCGGTGTTTATATTTAACTTTATAAGCATTTACTTGATTTAAAAATATATTATTATTGGCTGTTTATATACAGGGTGTATTATAAATACTTTTGCAAAATCCTGGAGTGGGTTCCTTACACCAAAACAAGGACAAATATTCATATAAACATGTACACAAGTCCTTCATTTTTGAGTTAAGTTTAAAGAAAGTTAACAGTAGATGGTGCTGTGTTGCTATGTAGATTAAGTTACATTTGTCATTCATGTACATTTGTGGCTAGTCTGTCTTCAATGTTTAACATGTGTAGTAGTGAGTTAACTGAGAAATGTTCCAGTTACCAATTGCAGGATATTCATGTCATAAGCAGGCAGATATGATTTTTATATACAGCTGTGTAAATGGTAATGGACACACAGGCTGCAGTGCTGTATCAGATTGTGTATCCAGAACGAAGGCAGCCGAGTCATCCAAGTTTTGCCGCTGTTTATCATTGCATTGCTAAGACAGGATTCATGGCACCACAAACTATGGATTGCGGAAAACCAATTGTACATTTAACAGCATCTATTCTAAACTTTAATAACTGAAAAACAAATGATTTGCAAACATATGTTTATATGGAATTTTGTCCTTATTTTGGTATGAGGAACCCACCCCCAAAGCGTAGAAAAATATTTTGGATACACACTGTATATTTCAGTCAATAAACATTTACATGCTTCAGTAATAGATACATTTAGATCTAGTCTAGATGCATTTACATTTGAGTCA